ATCAAAGTATTTGTTTTCCTGCCTGGAAGCCAAGAAAGGTAGAACTAGTAGAGTCTCTGACTTATGTATCTGACTGGGATTTCACAGACAAGGTTAACAAATGCTCTGAGACAGTTCTTATTCTAAATTGACTCATCAGGGGAAGGGAAAGTTAGCTCCAGCAAGGAAGGTGATCTATGGTTTCTTGCCCATGGAAAGATTTTAATGTAATGATCATATTATACATCTTTTCTTAGACGGAAGTAAATGCACAACATCAGGTTTGTAGGATGTTCCTGGCAAACAATATTGTCTCCAAGGAGGCATTCAAAGTACTTAACATTTAAAGAATTTGTATATGTTTGTATATATTTGAGCTAGGTGCAATAGGCAACCAAACAATGAATACAACCCCTAAAAAAGTAGTTCCAAGGAAGTAAGTAATTTGGACATTGCAGTTACTTAAATCTGACCCCAAGAGAGAGCCAGAACTATGTTTTCTTTTGGGCATATTTCTCTAAATCTTTATAATCTAGAAACATTGCTTCTCAAACTATCTGATGTAGTTGACCAGCAATTATTTTTTCAAATGTGCCAGGGACTGGTACCATATTTGTGCCGTATTATTATTGGATTTGACCTAATTTCCCAGAACCTTGTCATGGACCAGCAGGTACTGAATCATGGACCAGCAATGGTTAATGGACCACAACTCTGAGTAGCACTAATCTAGACAACATTTACCTATTGTGCAATTTCTAGGTTCCAAAACCATGGCTTTTTTGCCATGATCTGGGCTGTATCCGCACTGCCGAAATAATCTGGTTTGACACCACTTTAACTGCCATGGTGCAATGCCATAGGATTCTGTGAATTGTAGATGTAATTGTAGCTCTGCTTTGGTGCCAGAACAAACTACAATTCCCAGAATTGCATAGCATTGAGCCAAGGCTGCTAAAGTGGTGTCAAAGTGGATTATTTCAGCAGGACAAATGCAGCTGTAATTGTACTGCTTACATAATTTGCAAATCTATCTCTAGTCTATGTTAATGAATAAGATCTTTCCTATCTTGAAAACTTAATGTAAAATCCATCTGAAATTAAGGATTTAACTATCTTTTTTTAAAAAAACATCTCCTTCCCACGGGAAAACAAATGAATTTCACGGCAAAGAGACCCGTCTTCCGTGAAAACAGCTTACACTTTGTAAACCACTTAGTACCTTGGAAAAGCGGTATAGAAATGTACTTGATCCTTGCTAAAATACACTGCTAGAATTTTATGGTCTGTTTTATTTATATAGGAACTTGA